CTGACAACCTGTTTCTTTCGTCCGACCACTAAGTTGACATTAAGGAAAATATTCTCTCCATATTTGCATTGCGGGCTGGAATGGCAAATATGTATTCGAATATTCACTTTATTAGACATGACTTCTGATCAATATGGTTTGTATCTGCAAAAAACTTCAACCATTTCTCTTCCATATTCAATTTCATAATTGCTTTGTAGTTTTGGTTCGTATTATTTTTCTTAAATAATCTTTTAGTTATACAAACTGGTTGAAAGAATCTCAGTTTTGCCAATATTGATGTTTCTTAATTGTAAATATGCAATACTACATTCTATTTCCGCGATACTGCCGTGTGCCAGCCACCTCACACAGAGTTTCGGAAGAAAATGGGACAAAAAAGGGACAAATAGTAATATGGGACTAAGTAGTGAAATACAGTGACAGTTCCATATATATGAGATATATGGCAACCCTACATATCACCAATTGGTTTGAAATCTGATGATAAATTGCCAGACTTAAAAACAATGTCCTATTTCCATTATCCATAGAGTTGCTAAAAAAAACAAAATGCTCATGCCTATAAAAAGATAAATTTTATATTCAGCTTTACTCAAGCAGTGGTAGATAGACTTCACATTATCCAGATAAAGCTTTTTTAAGTTTTCTTCTTATTTCATCCATCCATTTTTGGATAATGTTAGCTTTATCTGCTTGTGACTTGAATAAAATGCACTTTATGCAGATAAAATTCAAAATTAATAGATTGTTACTTACTTTAACTAGAATACTTGGATAACATTAATTGGTTAATCTTAGCTTTATCCAATTTGTGGATTCTAGCCAAAAAATATACACCAAAATAAATATATAAAAACTTTATATTTCATTTAATATCTTATAACTATATAAATATAAATAATATACATAGTAATATTTTTTAAATATAATTTGGTTCCATTCCATTCATATTTTGGTTTAAATACATTGATGTAAATAAAAAAAGTAATATTTGCACATCAAAAATCATGTATATTTAGATGTAATTAAATTTAGTTTAACTCAAATTACCTTGTAAATGATTATTCTGATTTACAACAGTTCTTTATCTACTGTGCTGATAACTTATTTAAATCTTTGTAAATACTTGAACATTAATGAAGCTTACAGCTCTTTAGATAAACAAAAGTAATCGCATTAATTAAATAAATGCTTTTAATTTTGGTTACTTTCATTACAATTGTAATTAAGCTGAAGATTAATTTAGTTTTTTTCCTGTACTATTTTATTCTGAAGATTATTATTTTTTTAATAAAAATATAAAATGCTTTTTTTCCTCACTCATAATTTATAACATGACATAATATAAGTTTTATACATTTAAATAAATGAATTAATTCAGGCAGAGTGTACTGTACAGAACATTCAAATTACAATTTTTAAAATGTATGTTAAAAGATTCCAAATGTACTGTACAACTTAAATCTCAGTGCATATTTTTTTATAAAAAATTGAGCACATGCAACATAAATTTTTAGATTAATTTAAGATAAATAGGAAGCACATTGGCAATGAACAAAAGAATAAAATTAAAAGAGAACAGAAAGTAAAAAGAAAAATGAAAATGTAGAAATCTAAAAATAGGAATATTTTATCATTTTAACTTGTTTTTTTGTATTTTAACATATCTAGAGTAAAAAATTAAATAAATATGAAATTATTTTAACATTTTGTAAAATGTAGTCCATATCTCTGGTAGTTCAAAAGTGGCTTTCTTACAAGGCTCTAACATTGTTATGTATAACTAGCTTACCCGTCGCGCATTGCTGCAATCTCAGAAGAAAGGAAATTCAAGCAAACTCGTTATGATAAAATTCAATTTACATTTTATTATTTTTATTGAAACTTATTATTATTATTCATTTTCATCTGTAAAACATTTCAAAGTGTCATTTCAATTCTATTTATTTATTGGAGTGCTTGTAGATACACGATATTTTTTGTTTTTGCGTCTGGTGCGTACACGAATAAATCAGAAGGTTTTCCGACGCGTTAGCTGGTCACATACAGTTGTCCACGCGAGAAACACGCATTCTCCAAATTTAACCCACACACTCGCAGCGATTGTCAGAAGCGCGATATTCCCCATTTATATATATATATTTTTAATCCTTTACAATTTTAATTATTTAATTGCTCCTTCCTCTCTTCCTTGGCATGTTGTGAAATTTCTGATAGTTGGATAATAAACCGTTTTATTGTAATTTGTCTTTTTAAATTATTTTGAGTCGATATTAAAATTTGGAAAAGGGGGATTCCTAGATCGGTAAAATAGGCGAATTTCCTCCTACAACTTCGGTTGTTGTTCGGGATACAGTTAAGGTTTTAACAAAGTTCGAGCGAATACATAATTAGCAAAAAAAAGTAAAATAAAGTGATTAAACAAAAATTATTACAAATATCGTAAATAACAGTTCACAAATGCATATATAGAGATATTTTTTGAAATAGGGGGAAATGGTCTTCACAATTTGAAATCGATCGAACACACTGTCTCGATACACTCGTATAAACGCGCGCCATCTATCGTGGGTTAAATGTACTATGCCAGAAACCTTCACGGGAGTGTATTAAAAAACTTTCCTAAGTTTTATGGCAATCGTACTATGCCACAAACCTGCGCGAGAGTATATTAAACAACTTCCCAAAGTTTCATGGCAATCGGATAAATGGTGTGGTAATGCATGAAGGACATAAGACAGACACACAGACACACATTCATTTTTATATATATAGATGAGTCCCAGAGAAAGATGGTTCTGCAATTTAAACATTGCTTAAGAAGGGAGCTTCAGCTCATAAGGGTGAAAAACTATTCTCTAATATCTTTCTGACAAGGTCAGTAGTATTTCTACTATTATGAATGTCATCCCAATGTTCTTGAAAGCAATATGCTAATTTTTGGTGGTAACTCATATATAAAAAGTTTTTGATCCCATACATATTTGCTGTAAAAGGATCATGTAGACTCCTGATTTCTCTAAGAAGGTAAAACTATCCCTATTGTTACAAAGAATTCTTTGTAGAGATAATTGAAGCAATTGAAAGCATAATCCCTTATTTCTTAAAAGCACAAACAATACTTAAAGTAACAATCTATAAATGTGGAATGGAAGATTGTCAAATACCAGATTATTTTTATTGTTAATAGTGTGTAAAGAAGTGGGTGGGAAGAAAGATCTACAGACTAGGTTATTAACATATTTAAATTTTGCACAGAAGTACCCTGCATTAAATATTGCAGCAACCATCAGATATAGCTCCTCCTGTACCAATAAGAGAGATGAAGGAAATAAATATACTCTGTGAAAAAATTTAACATTGAAAAATAGTGTAGTTTATTCTTAAGTTTGGCATTGTTACTGAGCAGATTTCTATAAATATTTTTGTTAATTTAAAGCAAACAAATTCTCAATTACCTTCATTAATGACAAGGAATAATTCAGACTCAAAGAGAAAAATATCAATTACCAATAAATATCTATGATAAAATATAATAATAAAAAAAAATATTTTTTATTTCACTATTTACAAATATTTATACAGACTAACAAATTAACAGAACTGGTCTTTTTTTCTGTTATGACAAAAAAATAACTAGTAAAATTATATTCATAACTTCAACTGCTGTAAAAAAACCAAAACAATAAAAGTTAAATTTGATTTAATAGTACTTTCTAAAATATTCTGAACATTTATTCTAAAATATATCTGATTATTGAATATATATTAAATCCCTGCTAACTCAAACTTCATAATACTTGGACATATTTTTTTAAAATATTGTATACAGTAATTTAAAATTTTTGACAATAAAAAAATTAAAATTAATGATTATTTATAATTATAACAAAATTACAATTAACAAATATTTTTTTTTATACAGAAGTTTTTATGATACCATGCATTATATTATTGCAGTTGGTAAGTTCTGAAAACTGTATATTGCGGTATACTGTACTATCATGAAATTTTTTTAGCTCAATTTCCTGTAATAATAAATTCAGCAGTATAATCCACTAATGCTCAGTAAACTTTTGTATAGAGATGATCTTAATAAATTAATGTACTGTATAGCCACCTTCTTGTTTTCCATGTCATCAGAGAAACCCTGCTAACTTGGATTTTTGTAAACTTGGACAACCCTCATCACCTATTAGTCCAAGTTAGTGGAAGTTTATTGTATTTGTAATTTTTAACTTTATAGCATTATTAAGAAAAATACATAGCAGTTCAATTTTCATTTTCATAACATATATTGTTTAACACAGATATCAATTAACTTAACTTAAAAATTTATATTTAACTCTTTTAGTAAAAAGTGCATTATATAATATATAATAAATCACATCATCCACATTTTTTTCAGCAGCAACACTTTAATATATGAATGTTTTTGGCCACATTTAATACCTGAGTCAGGATTCAACATTAATCAAATCATTACGTTCAATTTGGTTAATGTTGAACTATGGTCAACATTAACAAAGAACAACAAAGATTGCGCATTTGTATTCTTCATATGGAAAGCACAAATAGTATTTATATTTCAAAAATATAATAATATACATTTGACATAGTATAAATAAATAATATAATAAATATTTGACATAGTATAAATAAATATAATAAAATATAATAAATATGAAAAAATTAGTATTATAAATGCAGTTATGAATACTAAATCTATAAGCATTATAACATGGTAAACCTGAGTTGATAACTTACATTAAGATGATTAAAAATACAAATCATATTTATCAATATGTGTATTTTGAATTATAATACTGATTTCTTGTATTCAGCATTAAAATTTACAGATTGGTGAAAATTTTTCTATATATAATGGTTATAAATATTAATAAAACTTTGAAATTACAATATCTAAATATTTTTAATAAGATATAATAAATAATAATAATAATTGTAATTTATAAATTTATAATAAAATTCCTTACCCTATTACTACTATTATAAAGTCAAGAAAATTCCAACCATTCCTTAAATAGGCACCAGAATGAAGCATAAATCCATAGGCAATGATTTTCATAATACATTCGATGGTAAAGATTACTAAAAAAACATATTCTATTTTCTCCTGTTAATTAAAATGATTTTAAATTAATCATATTTATATTATCATAATAATTACAAATAAACTCTACATAGTAGACCAAATGTACTGTATTAAGTAAATATTATTTACTTACTAAATAATGATTTACTTGATTTGAATCTGCATTAGGATAAGGTGTATATACAGCAAGGGCCACACAATTGCAGAAAATTGTTAATAAAATAAGATATTCAAATGGTGTAATGGATAAGTTAAGGAATCTTTCAAAAAATCATTAATTATTTACACATACATGCAAACAAATAAACAACACTATTAAAGATTTTCAAAATTCTTTAGTTCTTGTAAATGTAAATATACAAAAAATATACACTTATCTACTGATTATTAATGTATCCTGTATGAGCTACAGATTTATTTATTTAGTCAGTGATTAGATAAAATTTAATACGTAATTGGAAATAAAAAAATAATTCAAATACATTTCTGTTAAAAATTGTAGAATTCTATTTTTAATTAAATTAAAAAAAAACAACATTCTTTGTAATGTGGATATGCAGAATTTATTTGAGAAAATAGTCTCATAATGGAATTTAAATGAAAGTGTTGGAAGAGGATTGGAATCAAGAAATAGCAGAATCAGACTTTAAAGGATGTTCTTTTTTTAGAATGAACATGGAGATTCCTTTCCAAGAGTGTTTATTTGGTTTAATGCAGCTTAAACAATGTATATATAAACTGTCTGTGAGAAACTGTATATTAATTGGTAAATAAAGTGTTATTTAGTTTTTTTTTTAATATTAACTTGTATAAATTCAGAAAGACCCTGTTGATGTACTTTGAAACTCAAAAAATAAAGAAGTCAACTGAATAAAAGAGTACCTCAAACTTAATTCTTTCCAAAGCAAAATGCATTTTCAATATATCTATCTTAAATCAATTGGTCAATAATGTATTAATTAATAGAAATGATATGACATATTATCTTTATTTCTACCAAATTAGTATTTTATAAATCACATATAATATTACATAAGTGAAAATTATGAGGTAAGATGATAATGTTATAATTGGTAGATTTCAGATCAGTGTAAATAAAACTACATTTTAATTACAATAAAATGACATGTGGACTTTTTTTCATGAGTTCCAGTTTTAACTATTAAAATACTGATTTAAATATTTGAGGTTGCTATAAAAAATTAATGATTAAGAAAACAACATTATTTATTTTTTTACTAAGTAAATATTTTAAATTTATTAGTTCTCCCAATGTTTAATATTTATTTATTTATTTGATTTTTATTACATAATACTAGATAACAGGTGATTACATCTTCAAAAATATAATGTTTAATTTAATTTAATCTTAATTTTTATTACAAATATTTCAAAATTATTTAAAACAAAAATCAAAAATTTAAGCAAAGGCATTATATTAATTATTATATTTAAAAGTAATAAAATAAATTTAATCTTTTAAGATGCAATCTAAGATAACTTTCAAAATTATGGTAAAAAATTTATTGAATAATTTATTTAAAAATTGTTTAAATTTTATAAAGGATTTTAAAAGGCAGAAATGATTTTGAATCTTTAAATTTTGATGTCTCTTACTTAAAAAAACTAAGATCTTTAGGATGGAATATTTAACATAAATTAACAAAATATTGATATATCAGATCAGAGCCAAATTTAGACTTCTTGTGGCCCTACAGTACACATATAAGAGGATCTTCCTCCATTGCCAAATAATAATAGGCAATATATATAGATTGTCTTTGAGATAAAATAAGGCTCTTCATAACTCAAGGACTGAAATAATAGTTTATTTAGATTATATGTATATCTGACTCTGAATCGGATAGAAAACATAACAATATTAATAATATTTCATAAAAGTCAAAATATAAGATATTCAATAAAAGTCAACTCTGCCATGAGACTGTTATTTTCTGAAATGTGAGAAAAGACAAAAGAAGTCTTATATTTTATGGTGTTTTATTTTTATGAATTTAAGCTTACAAAGAAACTTAAATATTCTTAATAAAATTAATTCTAAATTAGAATTATTATTAAATTGTTATGTGTATTTAAAAATTATATATAGTGATGATAAAAGTCTCTTCCTAACCAATTATTGAAGAAACTAATAATACTTAATAGGAACTAATAATGCAATGGATTATTGAGGAAGTTAATAATGCAAACTAATAATAATGGATCTTATGCCAATTACTGCCAATGGATCTTTTTTGGAAGTCAGAACTGTGCTATGTAATGATGCAATTTATCCAGTATCTTCTTTTGTGTCAAAAGTGGTAAGACTGCCTTAAGTCCTAAGGAAAACAATACAACAAAATAAATTGCAAAATTATACAGAATGATAAAACAAGTTGAGTTTTATTGCATTTCAAAATACAATGTATGATGAGAAGTGATATAAGAAATAAAAGGAAAATCCTAAAAAAACTATTCTTTTAGATTTAGATTCATGTTTTAAATGACTGTTACCTATCCATTTTTAATTTTGACTTGATAGCATTTGAATACATAGAATAAAAACAAAATGTATAAATACCAATGGTTAGTAATGTTTCCCGTTTAGTTTTGAAGTCATTGGACTGCAATTTGAAAAAATACCTATAAATTCCTACTGTCATCCCTCTGTCTGTGTCTGTCTTTTCTTAATCTTGAGAACAGAGTTAGATGAAATTCAAGACCAGAAATGGAAAGCTTAGGGGCTGGAGGCCCTAATAACTATATACAAACTTCTAGTCTAGACCAGAAGTCATGTGAATTCAATTAAAAAATTTCTCTCTGAATGGAGTTACATAGATGACTGGCATGACTCTGTTGTTATCAGGTAAAGTATGATGTACAGGGGCAAAACACTATAAATTTGAGATGGAAAAACATATATTTAAATTGAATAAATTAAGAATATGTTTAAAATTTCAGCCTGGCATTGTGATTAAGTTACAATAAATAATTGCTCATTTCCATTGTATTGTATATTTTCATGCCAGTTTTGAAAGCTTGTTTCAGAATTCTGTTTAATATTTAGAATACAGTGGTACCTCAGGATACGAAATTAATCCGTTCCAAAACCGAAATCTTATCATGAAAATGTCATAAGGTGAATCATTTTTCCCCATACGATTACATGTAAAACCAAATAATTCGCTCCAACACGAAAAATACACTCAAATTAAATCTAAGTAATACATTAAAAAAAATAACTATAGTAAGGAAAACACTGAAAAATGAGTTTTGTAGTTGTAAATGTATAAATAACCATAATAGAATAATAATTGCTTAAAAAAATGTAGTTTTATTTGCACTTTACCTTTGAGGATAGATGACAGTGAAGGGGTAAACTGATGGCGGAAGAGAGGGAGAAGGGAAATGATACTAAAACTTAACTTACATAACAATGTAACAATAACTTAAAAATAACTTAGAAAAGATAAAAAAAATTATTGTTGTTTTATATATATATTTTTTAAAATTTTTATTTACTGCTTTTTGCTTTCTTTCTTCACTTCCATCAGCACTTTCACTGGATAGAGGTTGCTTGGTAAAATATCTATCCAAAGAGGTTTGGCTTTGCCTACTTTTTAAAATGTTTCTAAAATTACTTAGGCAAATGTCATTACTCCGAGCAGCAATACGGCTAGTGTGAACATTTTTGGGATGTTTCTTTTCAATGAAATCAGTCACTTTCACCTCAAGATTTCCTTTATCTAGCGAGATCCACAACAAAGCAAACACGCGGACTGAGACCAAACACAGAAGTGAATAAAAAATGGCGCTGCAAACTAATGTAACGTTGCATGGTGAGTTTTTGTTTGTATTGTGGAGCAAAAATATGTTCGATTTTCATGTCATATCTTGAAAATTTCGTATGCTGGGGCGTTTGTATCTTGAGGTACCATTGTATAATAAAATCTAAAATTACTTATTTTGTCATTCTTTACAACTTTGCAATTGATGTTTCCTCATTACCATTATAGTTTGAAGTATGCTGTCCTTTAGCAAAATCCTGTCCTGACATACTAGTTAATATACACTGACAATAGGAGTCCATAATAATTGTACTACTCATTTTCACAATATCAGGCTGGGAAGAGACTTTCGTCACTACTCTATATATTCAAAAATGAATACTGTTTGTAAAATAGTTTAAAACATTTAATATTCTTGTGTTGTATACTGGCACGATGAAGTGACCGTTTAACCAACACTTGGCAAGTTTTCCATCTTTATTTAGTTAGTATTAACTTTATTTAGTTAGTTTCGATAACAACAAACATTTAATATTCTATTAATTTAATTTTTTAATTTGATCTATGTTAAAATAATTACTGTTAAATATATCACTGTTGCAAGTTACGTGTTCACAGATAGTGAGTAGGAACCTTACAAGTAAGTTTAAAATCATACACGACTCCTTTGGTCCGTTTCATACCAAAAAAGTGGCGGACTTGATAGAGACATCATGTCATGGCTGTTTATTTATTAGAAAAATAATACAAATGCTATATAACACAAATCATTGCTACATACATAGATAATGACAACAGAGAAATTTAACAATTACAATTAAAGAAATATGAATATTGTAAAAAATGTATAAAAAATTAAGCTAATTTTTATTAATCATTGTATATTATGCAAATGAAAAATTGAATTCTTCCAAATACCTCTTACAGAAATGTGTTTAATAAGAAATCAATTTTATAAACTATAATTGAATGATAATTAAATTTCAAATCCTACTTGTAGTGAGATATTAATATTTAGAATCTAGTCATTATCTGAATTATAAAATTTTGATATTAATAATGATAGCATATTCTTATAATAGATAAATGGATAAAAAATTCTTATTTTTTATTCATTTTTATTTTTCTTGTTAACTTCAATTCAAAAATTAAATTTTAAAGCAAAGTAACTTATCAATATTTCTTGATTGCTAATTAATAAAATAAACTTCATACAAAATTTAAATTTCATATAAAGTTTTTTTAGATTAATGTTATATAGAAAATTTTAATGTAAGATTATGAATTTTAAATGTTTTAATACAACAAAAAATCTTCAGGTATATATTATCTAAACTTATTAATCAATTATATACTAAGTGGGGCTTGCAACAATCTAAGGCTGTGTAAGCATTAGGCGTTTTAAAACGTACGTTTTGGTAATGCGCGTTTTAAAGAACCAAGAGTTCTGC